CTCCCCCCTCCCCCCGGCCGCGCTGTGATGCCCTTCCGTCACACTCCCGTGCCGAGAGGCTCTCGCCCTGGGCTTTCTGGACGCGCGCCGCGACCGCGCGGCCCTGTCGCAATGTTTTGATTGTTTGGGTCCGCTGGAAAACGGCGGCGCTCGGCGCTCGGCAGTGGCACCCAATCCAACTCGCAGTGGCCGACGCGTCCAGGCCGAAGCCACCTGGCCGACGCGCCCTGGCCGACGCGTCCTGGTCGACAGACAGCCTAGTGGATGTCGATGTGCTGCTCGTCTGCTGGCGGTGGATACGGCCCCGTAGGTTTCGGCGCGGCGTGGCGTGGCGTGGCGTGGCGAGTCCCGGGCAATCAACCCGGTGGAAAGTGATCCCCAGCCTTGTGGAATTCCGGCCAACTTTGTCTTTTCCCTCTCTCGTCTCGTCGACCGCCTGCCCTGGCCTGCTGCATCATTTCCCGGACATTATTCGGCGGCCGGGCGACGAAGGCGACAATACCAACAAAAACAGTGGAGAGAGAAAATGAGCTCCGTCGGCGCGGCTGGCCGGGATTCGACCCCGCGACAGTCGCTTACCTCGGCCCTCGTCAGGTGAGCGACGGAGGCGGCGGCGCTGGTGGTCGGGGGACGCCACAGGCGCTCACCCCTGGGCGCCGTCCCATGGCCGGGCGGTAGGCAACCTGCAACACACGGAGAGCATCACTATCGCTTTCGCCGTCTTCCTTTTTTTTCGGGGCAGCGGGGTCTGCGCGGACGTTGGCCCCGATGTGCTTTTTTTTTTATTTTACGACTCCAATGGGATCTGATGGTGGCGGGGAGGGGCACGTCGACGTGGCGGCGAGGGCCAACGTGACGCGCAGATGTAAACAGAGCAGACGCGCCGCCGCCGCCACGCCCGACCCGTGCGCGAGATTCGGATCTCACGAGCATATCGCCTGGACGTGGTGTGAGCCGTGGGGGCTGGCGGCTGACGCCCCGGGACAGGACGGTCGAATTCATGTGTGTCTCCCGCACGTCTCGCCGTCCCTCTCCTCCCACCCAGGGCTTGCATGCTCTATCTCCCTCGTCTCCAGCTCAGCACAGCAGCGCGCGCCCCGCCCCGTATCATCTATCCTCTATGCTCCAACTCCTCGCTAGACGATCCTCGCTGCCGCCGCGCACCGGCCTTCTCGTACCTCCTCGGCTCGGCTCGGCGCGAAGGGAAACTCGGCGAGTGCTTCACGAAAGTATCAAGATAATTCCAAGAACTATGGTGGGGCCCGGCCCGGGCGGACAGGCTACCGGCCGAAGAACAGGGGGGGGGGGTCGGAGGCGAGGTGGGGAGGGAAGTGCCAAAAATCCAGCCAAAGTAGCATCCTCACAGTCGTAAACCTCCAAATCCAAGCTTTGAAAAGGCGACCTACATTTTGTTTAATAGCTTGCGGTTTGCTTTCCCACTAACGGGGGCTTTTGTCGCCGCTGCGTGCACTGGTGCGCACTTGTGTTAGAGACAATAATGCACGGTGGTCCACAGGCCCCTTCCTTTATTTTGCTCATACTGTACCGCATGCAGGCGTGCGTGCGGGCTTGCGTACCGTCGCTCACCTTACGGCCCCGTGCGAGTATGCAGCCCATCCGCTCGCCTGCATGCGGTACAGTATCAGAAAAAATAAAGGAAGGAGCTTGCGGACCACCCTGTATATTCGGAGACTTGGACAATCTATAGATCTGCCACCTCCAGACACCTGACGCCACTTTAAACCGTTTAGTGTGAAAAGGTGTTCTGTACTGACATGTTGAAACAAAACGTATTAACTTAAATAGCTAGACATCATGGCTTAGACAATAGACTGGCTGAAACACACACAAAAAAAACAACGTTCATGCAGTTTTGTTTTGTAATTAATCCCGCACATTTTGGATCATGTAAATTGCATTGGCATGTTCATGATATACATGTCCTGGCCAGTCCAAGGAATTGCATTGTAAGAAGGAACGAACTCCGATAGGCACAAGCAACCGAAGGTGCTACAACAGCATATTGTTCAAGCAGAATGCGTGCGTCCACGCCAGAGACACGTCAAAGAGAAAAGGATAAGCGATTATTGATGCTGATGGGTCGTACCTGCGTGCCCTCTCCGTCCGCCGGCGCCACTCACGCACAACACATACAAACACACGCCCGCTCGCTAGACTTGATGCAACAGTCGAGCGGATGCTGGGATCGGAAGTATACTGCGCGGCGCTACGCGAAGGACCGGCGGCGGCGCACTGCAGCTCGCAGGGCCCATGCGCCCCGTGTGTGCAATACGCGAACGCGAGTGAAGCGGAGTGGGCTACCGCCGGGCTACCGGCGCGGGCCCGCGGCCCGGTCCTAACGTGCGTGTGAGCCGAGCCCGGCCGAGCCGAGCCAAACGAGTAGGAGGGCGAGGCAAGTGACCGCATGACTGACTTAGCGCATCGCCGAGTGCCCCTCCCCCTCCCCCTCCCTGCCTTCCCCCTTTCTAAGTCTTATCCCTATCTCATTCTAGCTAAAGGGAAGAACCATTATCCCATGTCCCCTTGCACTCTTCTCTAGTTAAAAATAAAACTCCGAATGCAAGAGTAATTTTTTTTTTACATAAAATCGTCAAAATTTGCAGTTTGCAACTTGAACAAAAAACGTGAAGAGCCACAAAAAAAGTAACAACAACACGCAGTCCAGAGTGTGGCTCTTCCTCCAGAGAGGCGGGGCTGGTCCTGTCGGCATGACCGTAAATTAAAACAACTGTAAAAGAGAAGTGCATGGCCCTCCGGGCCCGGCCGGACCTCCCCGGTGCCGCCCTCTGAAGGAGGGGGGGGGGGTAAGGGCGGGGTTGAGCAGAAAAAAATGGCACGCCCCGCTGTACTGCATCTCGTAATGTGTATTGTCGTGCGAACCGACCCGGGGCGCAGCACGGGGAGCAGCCCGGGGCGCAGCACATCATGCACGACCCGCGCACGCACGCGCGCACGGGACTAAAAGAGCGGAACCAGGGCATAACGTCGCACGTGGTCATGACACGGTGCTGCATATCGAGTGGGCCGGGGCGAGGACCACCTAGGATCCGATCAACTGTGACCCCGAACGCGATTTGTTGTACTCGTACTTTCTCCATATAAGTTTCTCTTTAATCTCAGTCTAAATAACTTATTCATGTTTTGTCAGTCACGTCAGTTTTTCTTTCCCCAAAAAAGTTTGAGGTATAAACGTGTGTGTGCGAGGTGCCGTCCGTCTGTTACACTTTTCCAGCCCCTCCCCCCCCCCCCCTTTCTCGAGTGAGTTTTTCATGTTGACAGCGAACGGTCATGAACGGCCTCCGGGAGACTGAACGCACGAGCGGCCAAGCAGTAAGGCGCGCCCGGCTGCTGGCTACTGCTTCTACTACTCCTGCCGTAAGCATCAATCTGTCCGACATATCCTTTCGTTTCATTGGCATTTTAACACGTTAAGTCATCGCATATTGCCGGCGGATGGCCCCAGGCCAAAAATTCATATGAACCCCGGCCAAACAAGTGTCGTGGAAAACTCATGCCATCCCATATGGGCTCCAACGACAGCTTTGGCCGCTCTATCTGTGGGGGTCGTTATGATGGGGTCAGTGGGAATTTTAGACTGCGAGGACCAACCATATAAACACAGCCCCTCACCTCCCCTGCGCTACGTGAGCGTTCCCTTCACAACAAGCAGCGCTGCTGCTGCCGGCGCCCCATCGCGTATTTTTCAGAGAGTTTTGTAAAAACTGGCCGAATCGCGGGCAACAACAGCGTGCGGCCGAAGGGATGGCTGGCGCGCGGGGGATTGCGGGGGATGTGGCGAAACGATGCCTTGCTTCTCCTCTTTCTGGGCGCGCGAGGCGCAGGATGCACGAAATAAACGGCACGCCACGCCACTCCGCGCCACTCCCGCTGCCGCGCGAGCGGTCGCGTTTTTAGCGCCGCGACGATACCCGCTCCTGCTGCTGCAGCTGCGCTGCTGAAATTAAAGTTATTCCTGAAATGAACATGATTGTAGCAATAAAGGAGGACACCGTTTTGGCAGGTCGAGCACACATGCAGGACTGCGGCAGTAACGTGCCGCCTTCGCGATGCCTCCGAGTCACCAGCTGTGCTGTCCCGAGTTAGTTAGCCAAACTATGCAGAAATGCAAATACCCGCCCTGCGCCTGCAGCCCCGGGCGGCGAGGTTGGGAGGCGACCCTCGAAGAGGTCATAGTCCCGCCAGACACAGGTGCGGTCCCTACCCGGGCGGCTAGGTTGGGATGCAACCCTCGAGGTGGTAGCAGTCCCACCAGGCACATGAGCTGCAGCTGCAGCCGCGGCTGGCAGGCTGACCCAGTTCTAGAGGGACGCCCCCATAGCGTCCATCTCCCCTTAAAGTGAGCGGCCCTGCCCGCTGGCACCCTGGAGGTCTGGCGAGGTGCCGGTGGTGTGGTGGAGACCGCGGACGAGAGCCCTACGGGAGCCGGGCTGCTCCGCGGGCTGCTCCACGGGGTGTTCCACAGGGTGCTCCACGGGGTGCTCGCCTGCCCCGCCGCGGCCCTGGCCGCCCCGCAGCCTGCGGCCCAGCCCGAGTAACAGTCCAAGGCCGCCTGTTGGACTCAATCGATGTCGGACTTGCCGCTGCGCTCCGCGCGGCCCATAGCGCCACAGCCGTAGCCGCGCGTAGCGCAGCCCCTGGACAACCCCTGCGGCCCTCGGCCCCGCCAGCCCCGCCAGCCCCGCCGCCAGCAGACCACTTTCACCCGACGCAGGGGGCCAACGCTGCCAACAGGCCCACACAAGGGCCACTTACAGGGATACCCTCCCGCTGCCCCCCGGGCACGCGCCACCGCCTGCGATTAAGTTCGATACAAAGTTTGCGAGAGACTCCATGAGTGTGCGTTATTTCTCGCCCCCCGCTTGTGAGGCGATTTTCGTTTTCTCCAAGAATCATCCACTACAGTGAAGCGGAGAGCCACTAGAGCAGAGATCGCAAACTCGTGGCTTGCGGCGAGCCGCGTACCTTACTGCAAGCACCCTTTTGCAAAATTACATAGACACGTAGTAAAGTAAAAGCAAGTGCGGCTCGCCACATGTCGCACTTCTGTGATTTTCGAACTAGAAATTCAAGAATCGGCTCGCGACCCCGTGACTTGAGCGGCTGTCCAGCCCGGGCCGCCGCGGTGGGTAGGCAACCCATCGGTCACGGGGAGGGCGCGGGGGCGAGCGCGTGCGGCCGCGTGCAGCCGGCTGGGTAATTGCACCATCAAGGAGCACAACGCCACGCTCGCTCTGCGCGCGGCTTCATCAGACATTCTAGGTTGCCCTCGTCGATCAGTCCCGCAAGCGGGCTCTTTGATGGCTCACTCTTTTATGCGACGACGACGGCGTGGCTTCCAAACATTTATCAGCATCGTGATACCCTCCCGTTTAATGTGCCCGCGGCCGTCAAGGCGGAGCGCGAAGCACCATCACGTGTCCTTCCTTACCCGACACCGACAGCCCCTTACCTTCACCTTTCTAGCCCTCTTCTCTGCCTAACGCATTCGATACCACTTTCCAGCAGCATTGGCAGTACATGAAGCTTACAAATAAATTATTAGCAATACACTAACACTTTCTTCGCAACGTTGCAAAAATTTACTTAGCAAGGACTTTACAAAATAATTTGACTTGGTCTCTGTACTTTGCCACCATATTTTGTTTCCTCACA